GGGAGGGAGGGAGGGAGGGAGGGAGGGAAAGTAAAAGTGATTTAAAGTGAAAGAGATAAGTGCAAGTGAGTAAGTGAAAGGGATGAGTAAAAGTGATGAGTTGGTGTGAGTTGAGTGTAAACTGTATATAAGTATATTAAGTGATTGTGTGTGAAGTAAAAGTAAGAACCCCACAGAAAGATGTCATATTGTTAAGAAAAATACTGGTGAAAAAAAAACAATTAATAAAGAAAACTTCTCAAATTGCTTCAGAAAACAAGATGGAAGTGGCCCTTGCCTCGCTTCGGAGCCGTAGATTCTCCTGCTCAGCATGCTCGGCACAGCGCTGCTCCTCCTGCAACTCCGCCTGGAAAGGAATTAGCTACAATTCAGCCAAGTGCTTGGATACACCTGGTCTGGCCTGCAATTCTTGACATTTTCCACTTGCAGTTTCTGCCGTCTCTGAGTGTCTGAGGCTCGCTGCCCGCAGCCGCGCACACTCACGGCGATCGTGCTTGGCAGCCTCGGCTGCTGCCAGCTGAGCGCGCTCCAGCGGCTCGCACTCTGCTGCCACGCGTCTTAGGCTTTCCCGTAGCTCCTCAAGCTGTGGTATAAGACTTGTAAGAGGATTCTTGGGCAGAAGTAATCGCACGTGGCAAGGCACTCCAGATTGTAAGGGTGGTCAAATTACAACAGTATCGGCATCGGTGACAAACAGGTGAGGGCAACACCACTGGGAGACAAAAAAGAAGACGAGCAAGGAACCATGTCATGACAGCCACCTAGTGACCTAGTGGGGGGACAAGTGGGAACACAAACAAGGCATCATGCCTTGACAGCTCCGTAGTGGGGCGACAAGTCAGTGGGAAGACAAGAAAGGAAAAATTGTTGTGGCAAAGTCTATTTCCATTGAAATCGAAGCTCCCAGTGACAAGCACCTGTAGCAGCGTTGACTTTCTTGACATGCGCAATCATCGCGCCTCGCAGTCTCTTTGGACCTCTCGCTGTCGGGTTGCTCTCTGCACATCTGCCTTAAAGAAGAAGCAAAATGGCACGCGCTAGTTTCATCTGCCCTCTGCAAGACATTCACGTTGTGCTTGTTCTCTAATGCCCGCCTGCTGCTCCTGCAAACGACGTTGGGCCTCCTTCAGTTCCTCCTCCAGCCGTGAGCAGCGGCCCTTCTCCGAATTAATTCGCTGCTCCAGGATGTGGCAATCTTCCTGAGCAACCAGAAAATGCTTGCTTTGCCTCCTGACGTCCCTTGCAACTGTGGCTCCAGTTGCTGTTCAGATTTGTAAAACGGTCCTGGCGTTGCTTCGCATCCCGCGCCATAGCGGCGGCCAGCGAAGCAGGGGCAGGGGTGGCAGGTGGCGTGGTTCTGACCTGCAAAAGGAAGCATATCTCCACATGTCTCCACAGATTTCAAGGTTGCGAAATTCTGCACGATACGGAAGGCTTCTGTGGCCTCTGGGGGCTCATGCACGGCCTAAGTAGGGCCAATTTGTTAGAGAACTGAAATCCAACATCGTTCAACAGCCTCTCAGCCTCTCAGCCTCTCAGAACCAAACACAAGGAGGAGCGCCAGGCAAAGTGGGCGCCGATGGAGTGAGCCCATCACTGGCCTTTTCCATTAAATGGGAAGCTTTTGTAAGGAAGCAAAACGAGATAGAAAAAGAAGAAAGAAAGGTAAGGGCCCCTTTCAAAAGGTCCACTTTAAAGAGACCTTATGAAAAGGGCCGAAAAGGGCCATTAGCTTCTTATTTAAATGCTGTCCAACTTTCAATGAAATCGAATTTCAAACCCTTCAAGTTAAACGTCCAAAGCCTCGACATGAAATTTGATGGCTCCACCCTTCCGGGTCGGCTTTGCCAAAGAGATCTTCAGGGAAAGCACAAAGCGCTTGCTGCGCTTGCTTGATTTGTTTTTCAATTTTCAGCACATTTAGTATGTCAACGACTCTCAGAATTTCATGGAACAAGCAGAGTCAAGCCTGCCTCATCGCCAATGCTTATGTGTTGGGTCTTTCCCCTCCTAAGCTCGTGCCCTAAAATATAACATTCCCTTGAACAAACCAACAAACAAAATCATCTGAATGTGCACCCCTGGGAGAGTGCTAAGATGTCCGCCCAACCTTCTTTCCATTTATGAAAGTCCTGCTGATGTAACAGTTACATAGTAAGTCCAGTGCTAGTGAAGGCAACTAAACTGCAGAAAGCACAGGTTTAAAACATCGGCTGTCCCATTCCCACTAAGATCTTCAAGCAGGAGCGAACTTCCAGCACTGTCAACCTGGAAATACGTTCCACATCGTTTCAACACAATGAGAATAAAACGATGAAAAGGTCCAGGGCTGCGACACACTTCAAGCGACAGTGTTCCCCGCTGACATAGGCATAGGACTGACAAGTGCTAATCGAAGTTTGAGCAAATATCATCGCTCTCAAAACTCTGCAACTCAACCGAAACTGCGATACTGCAATTCTATCACAGCAATGCTGCTGTCAATGCCACAAACAATAAACAGCTTTGCCGCACTTGCCCACGGGTGTGGAGCCTCTGGCAAGACCAGCTGGCAACATGCCTTGCGCCCAATTGAGAAGTTCCCTGAATCGGGCAACCTGTCGGTGGCTTTGCTGTGCTTACAAAGCGCAGCAAGAAGAAAACACGGCAATAGTAATAATAAAGGGTAAGGCAAGGCCCCCTTTCTACCTTCCTTGTTTCGTCTCTCTTTCTTCTTTCTCTTTTTGGGGGTTCTTGTCTAGCAAGCTCAACTATTGATTGATTCACAAATCCGAAATATACCCCGTATGGGCCTGCATACTTCAGGATGAGATGAGGTTGTTTTTGTCGCCCCTAAAGTCGTTAAGATTTGCGGCTTCGGTGTCACTATCTGCAAATATACAAAATATATATATATATATAATACTACATGCTGTGCAACATGAATCCAATACCTCATCTTCCTCTTGTGGCTTGGTGGAGAGCAATGTTGAAATTCACTAATCGTTGGTTGAAATCAGTGCATGAATCATGTCAAGGTGATCTGAATCGGGCAATCTCCTGGCACATCTCCACACACTGGGCATGAGATTCCTTGCAACATGTACCAATACTTCCAAGCCACTGCCATGGTCCGCCAACACCAGCCTGGGGTGTGCAGGTCTTGGAGCTCTGGCTTTGGACACGTTCGACAAATCTGGAATCGAAGGAATGAAAGGAATAACTTTGGAATTTGAATGATCAAAACTCCATGCCTGCAAGGTCCGCAATTGTGCTCCTGGCATGCCCTAGCGAAAGGCTCCGACTTTTAGAGTGTTGTCTGCTGGGCTTGAGGTGCATTTGACACTTATAACTTATAACTACCTCTCTCGCTTTGCTTTGAAAGAACAAATGCTTGCGTAAGGCAGGGTCCTTTACGTTTCTTCATTAGTTGCTGCCGGAAAAAAAAGGAATCCACCTGATGTTCAAAAGGGTTGATGATTCAACTGCAAGTAAGTAACCAGTTAGCTGTGGTGCCAGCAATTTGATAGCGTTTTCACAAAAGACATCTGTATGCAGGCTGTGCGTCAGCTTTTTCTCTTTCTCAATGATTGCTTGAGCATAAACGTCGCAAATTGTCCTCCACATCACTCATTCCAAATCTCCAGCTTCGCAATCCCCAGGCAACATTCATGAGTTCCCCCAAATTCATCACCTTCCACGCCTCTGAGCGCATCTGACTCCGATCATCGCATTTTAGGTTGCAGCGGCATTGGACGTCTCCAACGTCTTCTAAATATCCTAAATCTGTGAAACTGGAGCTGACGGGCTGAGATGGCCTCGCGTGGCAAGAGGGAAGTTTAAAAACCAGGGCACGCTGGGATCAATGAAAACCTATCTGCTGGATTTCCATTCGATCACCTGTTGGGTTCAGAAGTTGCCTTTGTGGTGCACTAGATGAACCGTTATCGTCAGTGAGTCAATGCACCTTCAAATGTCAGCAAAATTGATCTCCTCTTGCACCTGCCAGAGCGACCAAAGCAAAATCGTATGACAGCATCTTTGAGCCAGTGGTGGCCTTGGATATGTCCACATCGGAGTCGCCTGAATCTTCCTGCATCCAGGAACCAAGAGTTGCTTGTTCGAGATCAAACCAGAACACAGAAGCCTACAGTATTTAAAACAAAAAACATAACTGTTTCTCCTTTTCTACAGGAGCCTAAGTAAGTGCTGTGTGCTCATGCCACTCCGCAAAGTACCGTGCTCTCAAAATTCTAAATATTCCTGAGGTCCGGTGCCTTGACCTTCCCCGCAGGTGCCCTGACCAAGTCGCAAAGTGCAAAGGCTTAGCGCAACCGCGCAGCCTCCTTCCGTCTTTTGGTGCTGTTTCGTACTAGTCCACTCAATAACAAAGGCAGTTGAAGCCTCAGAAGATCTGGTTCGCACGCTAGAAACACCCCAGGGAAGTTGTTCCTTTGTGCACAAAAAAGTTCAAAAGCTGGAAGCCCACTCTGGTTTACACAGGGAATTACAGCAAAAGAAAACTACAGTGCTGTTGTTTCAATCTTGACATGCAAACTGAAGGCTTACTCCTTGAACACTACCAAATGCCACTCTGGCCTCGAAATCTCCGCACTGGAAGACTTGCCTTAAAAGAAAGGGGAGAGCTCGATCAGGCAAAGGTGTTGCAATTCTGTGTCTTCTTGTGAATGTCAGATCTGCCCTCCATCCTCGAAATCATGCTTGAATCCAAGCTGTCCACTTTTAGGGGCCTTGGCAGCAGAAAACAGACCATCAAATGCATCTTATTTGACACTTCAAAATGATGCTTCAAAGTTAGTATCTAATGCGCAAGCACAAATTGTTCTCACATCGGGAGTGCAAGTGCCTTGTCCTTCCGAGATCGCTCTCTGCCTGAGATTGGCTCACATACAAACATGGGTGACGAGTCGCGAGAGCGACGCATCGCGAAACGCAAATATGAAGCTTGGCCACAATTAGCAATCACATGTATTCCTTGTATTCCTTGGCCTCCCAGCCTTGCGAGCCAGATTTTGACCTATCCAATAATCCACTTCAGAATCAGGGTCGTACAAAGGAACTCGAGTTCGTTTGTGTCCAAACAAACCAAAAATCGTTGATCAAGTCGTAAGCGAAGAGCTGGTGGCTGATTTTCCTCATCATTTCTCCCAGAAGCTTGAGGTGGGGAAGCATGACTTTTTTCCTGTGCATTGAAACATCAGCTGGTCTACTGAACGCCATTTTTATGGCGTCCTTCCGACCACTCTGGCATCCCCATATCTTCGCGAAAATCCACAAGACTTTGTGGCCATAGATTGGACACGAAAATGGCAGAACCCCGTCGCTCCACCCCGCAGGCAAGGCCCACGAAGCCATGGAGCCATTTGTTTGTGAGCCTGCTGAAGCCCTGAAGTTCTGAAGACACCTTCTCTCCCAACCAAGCTAAGGCCTTTGACCATTCGCAGGCTCAGAATGGACTATCTGCCCCTCGAATTGGCACTCAAACGGGAGGGTCCGAGTGCTGGTATTTCGTACTTTCTACATGTAGGACCTGCCAGCACAAGCAGCTCCTTTTCGGACTCGATGGTCTTCCTGTATTCTATTCTGAGACAGCTCGCCAGCTCACAAATCCAAATTGTAAAGTAACTTGTAATGAATCTTTTGTTGTGGTAGTGTGACCGTGTGTGACTCACTTCATGAAGTCTAAATCCTAAATCACACAATTGACCTTCGACCATCCGTACCCAAGTCCTGGCATGGCCCAACGAGAAACAAAACGTTGAGGCGCCAGGCTGATTCCATTTGGCAGCACAAGAATGTGCGAGCCACCAGCTAATTGAAACCTATTGCTACTCTTAAGCTTGGTTCAAATGAGCACATCTAAGAATTGTCTTGAGTCCTTTACATCAGTCGCAGGTTCTTGCAATTTGCAACTTTTGCAACGTCCATTCTGAACCAAGGGAACACGCTCGCAAGAAACTCACCAGCACACTGTCGGCTTCTCAAGAGTTGTATCTAACATAGGCTTTGCACATCCTTATTCTGAAAATACTCGGCCAAAACATGCACCAATTTGAAGGAGAAACTGATGAACTCCGCTAAGCAGCAAGGCGCCGTAGTCAAGAAGTAGGCCTGCAACACTGCTGACAATTATGACTCACGTGCTAAGCGTTCAGCGATAGTGCCAAGGATTCACACTTGTCAAGCCTCTACTACTGTACTTTCCTTGGAGGGAGCCTCAACCTTCTGCTCTCTTGCGCATCATCTGCAAGCGACGCCTTGTGGTAGAAATAGTTTGAATCTGTGCAGGGAAAAACCATTGCATGAAGGGCGGAAGATCTATCGTGGTTTCTTTATTCAAAACAACATGCTGGTCAGAAAGAAACAGCTGCAAAGCATTTGCAGTTTATTTGCGGGATTAAGGCGTTCTTTGCAGCTTGGAATTCGCTAAGGTGTTGGCCCTTCATTTGCCTTGGTACGCCCAACCTTAGCATCTACGCCATTGACTCTCCTTTGACTTCATCTTCACAGGGGCATTCAAAGGTTTAAAAAAATCCAAACTCAATACTCGCACCTCCATAGCCTGCAGTTGTTCCTCAATTGTGCCCTGCAAAGAACCGGCGGTGGAAAGGTGCATTCAGAGCCCGCCCATTGAAGTGCAAAAGCCAAGTTCGAATCTATCTGAGGCACTTTTGAAGAATCCTTAAAACAAAAAACCGTGGAGAAAGGGTAAAGAAAAGGTGTGCCGCAAAGGTGCATAAAAGGGCTTCAAAAAGTTCGAAAAGGGGTAGGGCAGAGAGTAGAGCAAGTGAGGACCCACTTCTTTTATGGTTGCATTAATAAGGTTCGTGGCTTAATCAGTTAAAAAGACAGAAAGTGTTTTCCAAAAAGCTTATGTGTTACAAAAATCTTGTATGTTTTTTTCGGAATTATTTGTCATGTTACATAGAATAGTGTCGAATTGTCGACGTGTCCACACGCATGTGTTTTCTTGAAAAAAGTTTCTGTGTCGACTGTCGACAATGGCTATTCCTTTTTGTGAATGTCACTCCATGACATGCTCAAACCAAGGTTGCTGGACTGAGGAAAGCTCTCGACGACCGCTGGCACGTGGCTCCTTGTTTCCACCCCTGACCTCCTAAGATGGGAGGGCGACGTCACGACGCTCGAGCCATGCCTACGTTGGTGTGAAAAGACCGCACCAAACCGGAAAACGCGAGACGACACTTCGTGAGGTTGTTTCTTGGATTGGTTGCAGTTTGTTGCTACCTTCAAATTGGTAGCGGAGCCCCGACCAGGGGCTCCCTACCGTGCTGCCAGTTGACAGTTGGTTGTTGATTTGAGAGTTGGTTGAGGTACATTGCTCTTGCACCCTGTACGTTGCACACTGGCCTTTGCTTGTTGCCCATTGTACATTGTACATTGAGCAAGTCGACGTTGAACATTGGACATTGCACCCTGGTCGCTGACCGTTGTTCATTGAGCAAGTTGACATTGAGCATTGGACATTGCACCTTGATCGTTGATCGTCGTACATTGAGCATTGCTGCACGTTGCGCAGATGGCTTCGACATCGAGCACAGCTGGTGACACCACCAAGGATTCATGGGCGCCGACCTTCAGCAATCGGCCTCAGGACTACAGAGAGTGGAGGGCTCGCATCCACCTGTACTACAAGAAGATGCAACTGCAGAAGAAACCTGTTGAAGGAATCATCAACATCCTCACCACCATGACCGGCACCGCATGGAAGCAGTTGGAACCCCAAGCTGACGCATTGAGTGAGGACAAGGAAGGTTTCTCAAAGTTGATAGCAGTTTTGGACAGGACGTTCAAATACGATGACCGTGTTGAGCAACCAAGGGCCTTCGAGAAGTTTTTCTATAGCCTCTCAAGAAGGCCGGATCAGACATTGATGTCGTATTGCGCTGATCATCGTGAAGCACTGCGGGAGGTCCAGAAACACAACATCTCCCTGCCGGCGGAAGTGACTGGTTGGCTCCTCCTTCGGAGGAGTGGGTTGTCTCAGGAGCAGAAGCAATTGGTACAATCACAGTGTGGAGCAACATTGGGGGAAACAAAAGTTGAAGAAGCTATGTACTTTTTGTTTGGCCAAGATTTTCGTGGCCGCTCCACCTATGACCATCGTGGCAAGCCCTACAATGCACCTCGCTCAGCTGGAAAGAATGCCTACAAGTGGCAGAAGAAGGGCTCCCAAGCGGCATACGCCGCCACCGATGATGATCCCGACCTTCAGGACTATGAAGAGTTCTATGAAGTTGATGAGGCTGACGCCTACTTTGGTGATTGGCCGGATGATCCTGAAGAGGTCAACTATGAGGAGGATGAGCTGGAAGAAGTTCTCCATCAGGAGGACGATATGCCTGATGTTGATGACCCCGAATGGGAAGAGGCGTATGCATCATACCTTGATGCCCGCCGGAGGTTTGCCGAACTCAAGACCAACCGTGGCTACTATCCAGTTGTGGCCCTAGCAGACCCCAGCCCATCCAGCTCAGCCCAATCCCAACGCCCCTATCCTCCAAAGGGGAAGGGATCCAAGAGCTCCAAAGGCAAAAGCACCTCCAGGTCAGTCTGCAGTAGGGAACCTGAGGAAAAACAAGTGTATATATATATATAGATATAAACTTGGAATGCGCACCCACAACCAAAACAGTGAGAAGAACAGAGCAACAGAAAGGCCGTGAGATGACATGGTATTGCTGTGCTTTTTTGCGTATATACTCGTTCGATGGCAAACAAGGGCCTTTGTCGAAAGGGACGACTGCGCTCCAGTCTGAAGTTCACCTATGGCCTTCCGCAGGTCAAAGGCAGAAGACCACGACACTGCTGTGTTTGCAAAGGCCTTCCTCAATGCGTGAATGCGCTGGTGAAAGCCGTCGTTCGGCTGTCCACAAGCACCGAAGCCGCCTGGCACTTGGACCTCCTCGCTGTCTCCTGTGATGAGGACCTTTGTCAGGGTGTTTCCGAAGATAACATCTGCCGAGCTGCTACCAATATTCCCGGATTTGCAACAAGGGTGAGATTGCGGCATTCTAAGTTTGGTTCTGTCAATGTAAAATTACACAAAGAAGGCAAAAAGAGGTACTCTGCAAAGGCACAGCGTTGCGCTGTCGCATCCACTCCTTCTTGATGCTTGGAAACTTCAAAGATGAGTGTTGCGAAGCGGAATCGCAAATTATCAGCGCAGCATCCTCAATGGTCAGACTCAGGGCCCTGCGGCGCGCGCGGAGCTCACCACCCAGTAAGTCCAGGTATGAGACAAATGTCTCGCACGTCCACATGTGTGAACGCCGCTACCTCCAGATATTCGGATAGCTCCTTCGGTAGGTTTGGGGATGCCTGGAGTGCAGACGGATTTGGCACATCTATCATCTATCTATATATGTATATATATATATACATTTTATTACAAGCAGCAAAAGTGCGGAAATATATTCTATGTTCGGCTCTTGCAAACCTAAAACAAACTGTTCTCGTTGCCATTTCTCCTCGTTCAAGGTGTGCCGTTGCCTGTCCGACAAGTGCTCCTCATGGAATGTCACCCATCCTCTTCCCAGGGCGCCGTCACGCCAGGACAGCGTGGTGAGCGTGTGAGGCACGCGAAAGCCCTCGACAGGGCTGTGCGCCACAGCGCCGCCTTTTGCCAGCTCACGGGGCCCCTTCCGTTCAGCTGACTCGTCCTCTACCAATGACTCTGTTAAGGGTAGGCCCAGTGACAATTCCAACCGATGCCTCACCTGCCTGAGTGTCTTCTGCTTGGCAACTGGATCCTTCGGGTTGAGCGTGCTGCTGCGGGGCCGGAAATTCAAACTCCAAACCTGATCAAAGTTTGCTATGAGGCGGTTGTGAAACCGCTTCTTGGCCACCTCGAATGCTACCCAATCTCGCAAATGCCGCATAGCGGGATGATCATATATATGGCAAACGCTTGCCTGGTCGCAGGTTCGCAACCAATGAGAGCCCGCATCTCCGCGCCAATCTCGAAGCTGTTCTCCTTGAATGGCAAAACACATG